TTTTTTTTTTTTTTTTTTTTCCCCCCCCCCCCCCCAAAATATAAATATATAAGTACCATCTGTTAATTTATACATTAAGCACTTATATAAATATTTGAATTTAATTAACACAAAAAAAATTACTTAGTGGCGTTTCTCCTAATATAATATATTATATTGAATATAGTTGTATATCAATATAATAATAAAATTTAAGAAAATGATGTAATATATTTACAGCTAATAATGAATTTGATGAGCAAAAGTTAATATATACACATGATCCTTGTGCTAATAGCAAAATTGGTTTTGGCTACAAGTTATCATCTAAGAATAAAAATACAGGTTCTATAAATTTTGTCAAAGGAGAAACTATGAATTCACAAAGTGAAGTTTTGAGTACAGTTATTCAAAGTCCTGCAAAATCAACAGAGAGCAGTGATGTCAATGATACAAATAATGGTGATTCCAAAATTTATTTTTATAACTTTAATATTCCTTTTGTTTACTTAAAAGAAACATTTATTTAAATGATAAATATTAAAATCAATCATAATTTTTATTTAATACACTTTTATTCTCTGAGAAGATTAAACTTGAATTAAGCATGGGCATATTAATGACGCCATAACAATATTATCAATTGTATAAATAATTTAAACTAGTACCTCATAATTATTTTAAAAGTTGTGTTTTTTAACCAGAACAATTTTAAAAGATTTTTTATTAATTTAAAATATAAATATTTTATGATTCTAGGTATTATAAAAAAATTAATTGATATTTTACTTTAATGTAATAATTATAAACTATTGTTAATTAATGTTAATTGTAGAAAAAAACCAAGTTCAAGAATTATCAATGCTCATTTCAGCAAAGCTACATTTTTTATCTGATTGTGAAAGTAATACAAATTTATCATCAGTTCAAATTATGACCATTAAAATTGATGTAAGTTCCTAGTTATAATAATATTATATTTTTTTGAATATCTTTTTTTTTAATACTGTTATATAAGGAGTGAAAATTTCAAATGTTGAGCCAAAAATAGGTCAGGTCATACAAAAAATGTTATAACATTAAAAAAACAATGAAATATATTAAATCAAATATTTTTTTGTTATATTATATAGGATGGCTTTTAACACTAGCCATTCAAATGCACTTAAAATTATAATTTTTTTTTAAGCTTTTGTTAGTTACATATTTATCTGTTATAAAATAATTTTTTGGTCCATCTCTAATATCTTATAATGGAGACAACTTATTTTATATTAAGTTTATTAGTAGTAAGTTATGCGTATCATAATTTAGCAGTTTAAATTAATGACTGGAGGCAAGGAGCGGGTGTTGATTTTTTTAACACTAGACATTTTTCAGCCACATTCCTGCCCTTAGGTATAAACATGTTAATAGTTTCTGAAATACTGGTCCAAAAGTTATTATCGACCCATCATTTTTTTAATTAAATAACATATTTTATGAACTAGTTAAATATTTATGTTACTATTTGATAAATAGTTAACATCTCTATAAGAAATCAAGGATGAACATGAAAAATATTTTATAATAGATAAATGGATATATATAATATATATATAATACATATATTATATGTAACTATAATAAAAACAAAAATATTCACAAATTCATTATAATTTTAAGAGAAATTAAGTGGCTAATGTTAAAAGAATTACTCTGTATATTTACAATTTGGTTAGGTTTAACATTATATTTGTCATTTATTGTACCTAAAGATGAAACTTTGTCAACAGCAATTCTAAGTGCTAGGCCTTGTTAAATGATGTTATACATATTTTAATTAAAGGTATTTCATTTTATACGATAGAAATTCATTTTTCATTAAAAATAAAAATTACATTATGATTTTGAATATCAAAATAATATAATTTCTTCTTTTGATGAGTTAATGTGTCAAACATTTTTTGTGCTAATATAATTAATTAAATATGTGTTATCAATTTATTATAACTATAACAAACTATATATTTTTATCAAAATTTGTTATTTTTCATATAAATGAAAAAGACATTTAGATCATGTTATTATTTGCATGGCACTTAGAATGGGTATTATCTAAGAAACTAATATTTGATTTAGAAATAAATATTTTGGTTATTAAAATATGTACAGAGTTGAAGCTATTATTACATAGAACATTTATCATAAATAATACCATTCATTTTTTTGACACTTACAAGGTTTGACTTTTTCACTTATCATAAGTATACAGGACATATATATATTTTCAGTCAATTACTTACTTATACCTTATAAAGGTTTCAACTATTTATTTAAATTGACACATTTTATTTAGCTTATTAAACTATTTTATTAAGAAAATGACTGGTGGATAACAACTTTTGAACTAGTACTTTGGAATTTATTAACATATTTATAAGTAAACAGGTGTTAAAAAGTGCTGTTAAGAAATATCTAATATCTTCTGAGATACTGGTCTAAAAAAGTTACTGTTAAGTTATTTTCTTAATTAGATCATTTATATTTGAGAAACTGGTTAATTATGTATGTTTTTATTTAAAAAAACTAACTTAATTCCATTTTAAGGTATAAGAAATGGACTGAAAATATTTAAAATAATTAATAAATAGAAACAATTGTGAGACTAATAAAAGCAAAAAAAAAAATGTTTGTAATTAGTTTAACTATAAGTAATTGAGTAGGTTATGATAATTAGATCACTCTGTATATATATATATATATATATATATTACTATTGTATTTTGTTATATTTTATTTTTAGACTTTAATGGAAGCATGGAAAGAAAATTCATTAAAAGATGAATACTTTTCAAAATGGCTTGATGAAATGGCAATAGAGTTAAATACTTTAGAGAAGTCTGTTGCCCCAGCTGGCTGGAATTGTCAATGGGACAAGTATGTAATACTAAATTTATGTTAGTTTTATACTAATTAAATTATTGTTTAATAAATTTGAAACAAATTACTGTATAACTATGAATTTATGACTTTGTGTAATGTAGAAAAGAATAGATAATTTTTATTTAGTATGTAATTATAAATATATGTAGGAAGCATAAGCAATAATATGAGTAACAATAAAAGCTGGTTGATTTGTCCATTCAAACATAAGTAGGTATGTACATTAAAAACATTATCATGGACTTCTTCAATATTGTCGCTAAAATGGTGTAACTTGTGATAAAATAATTAAATATTGTAATATTATTATGACCTTACTACTTTATATATTTAATAGTATTCAATTGTGTGGTTTGCATTTGAGCTGTGTTAAATGCAGGTGGAATAAAATATATGGCGAAAATCCAACAGGTTTGTCTCCAACAGGCTCTACAGTGAAATTTTTTCATTTTTTATATGGGTTTTGAGTCAAACATAAGTATTATTAAATGAATTACTAATATTTTTTACTAAATATATTGAAGTAAAGTTAGCTTAAGAACTTGTTACAAAAAAAAACTATTTTTTATTTTTTTTTTCATTTTTTAAAAATATTATTTTAGACTTAACACTCGGTATTTCTATCAAAATATTTCAAATGGTCATACACAGTGGCATTATCCAATTGAAGAATCTGAATCTATTGAGACATCTCCTAAAGATACTGAAGTTCACACCCCTTCTCCACTAAATATTTCAGAACATGATAGTCATCCTGAACCTGAAGATATGGATATTGAAGATGATGGTCATAAAGAGGGTACTGAGATTATTGTTGTAAGTACAACTTCAATGAGAAGCTGAGAAGATATTAATTTTTACTATAGTGTATTTATTTTTTTTATGTGTGTGTGTCTGACACTACCTTTTTTCAACTCTCACAGGACTGATTTCTTTTGTATATTGTTGAAGAAATTGGCCTTAAAAATTAAAAAAAATTTCCCTCATTCCCTATAAAGGGGTATACTCTTAAAAATTACAATTTTGACATTTTTGGAACTTTTATGCTAAAACTGTCATAACTCTTCTAAAAATGGATGAATGAAAACAAATTTTTGACACGGTATGTGTTTTCCTTAGCCGCACATCACGTTATCAATCTAAATGAAAGTGTATTGGGATCTGAATCATAAGTGCATGGTGGCCTAGTGGTAAAGTTTGTCTCAACAACGCCCTGAGGTCGCAGGTTCTAATCCTGTATTTTTTCAAAAGAGTTCCGGTACACTTTCTATAACGTCAATTTCTGGCTGATGTGTTAATTTTTATAAATACCTTAGATATTTTCCTTTCACTTGATATAAATTTTTTGAAAATCTGACCCTTTATCCGCATACAACTTTTACATGAAAAGTTAACCTTTTCAACTATTAAAAAAGTTCCAGAAATACTCCGAGCTTCAAATAAATGTTAATATAAATGTGCGGACAACTTATGCTATATGTGCAAATGGCTGTTATAGTTTAAAATCGTATAATAATTGAGTTAAAATTTTCAATTTTATATTACNTTGCGCTGACAACTTATGCTATATGTGCAAATGGCTGTTATAGTTTAAAATCGTATAATAATTGAGTTAAAATTTTCAATTTTATATTACATATTTTAAGCTTTACATTGCTATAACTTTATGAAAACTATTGATCAGCAAAATTTTTTTATAAATATTTTATATAATTTGACATACTTTTTTTAAAAATCAGATTATTTCCCCTTATACAGGGGGTTTAAAACTAGAAACATATGTATAAAAAGTAGAACTTTTTTATCTTATCTTTTGTAAATGTTCAGGAAATACACCGAGCTTCAAATGTATGTTAAATACTATAATTAAAAAAAAAATTGTCCTGACAACTTGTCTACTATATGTAAATGGTCCCCAAAGTTAAACAAAAAATATTATTTAGGTGTAAAAAATGAAGGTTTTTATGATATTATAATTTTCTATTTCAATTTGTTTTTTGAAAATATTTATGTTTATATTTTAGGTTAAAGTATAGTTTTATAGGTGGATGGGGGACAAGTACTCATTTAATCCTCCCACACCATTTCAAAAAAAATATTTAAGTGTTAGGTATTTATATTTTGTTGTCAATTTAATATAGCATATTAAAATCCCTCCCCTAAAAAAATGCTCTAGTTATCATTAGATAAATTACTATTTCAATTTCATAATTGAAATAATTATGAACTAATGAAGGTCGGTATAATCAAAAAACAAAATATTAAATTTTTTTTTCTTAATTACATTTTTAATACATGTATTAATTAAGAAAATTAAAGTTTAAATTGCTTTTAAAATAATCAAACAATTCTTCCTAAAATTTAAACACTATCTACAGATAAGCATTGAAGCGTGCGTTACTTATGATAGTAATTTTAATCACTGTAAGATATCATCTATACTTGTCCTAACTATACTGTATTTCCACTATGCAATTTTTTTTTTCATATTTGTACTATCTCGTGTTTATTTTATATTTTAAAGTTAACTTCCTGAAGTTTATAAATTAACTAAATTTTTTTCTAGCCCCCTGTACCTGGTGATGAATTATCATTTGAATTAAATTCATTTTATGCGGATATTGCGCAGTTTGAATCAAATTCTACTGGACAGATTGAGACCATGGTTGCTGTTCAAAGTCCTAGCATTGAGCAATCTCCATGTTTGAAAATCATATCTGATTCAGACAAAAAATTAGAAGAAAAAGAAATTGTTGTCAAACCAAAAAAAAAGAAAAAGGTATTTAATTGATCTCTATTTAAATATTTTAAATTTTCATCATGTGTTAATGCTTTACTGAATTATTTATAAATAATTTTATAAACAGAGTATTTTCCATTTAGAAATTCATTCAAAGTGGATTCTGTCATTTTTATTTTTTAATATTTTTAACCCAAAATTCTTATAATTTTTTAATTATTCTGTTTTTTTTTTTTTTTAATAAACAAACATTCCATTTTATAGTGTTTTATTTATTTTTCTTAGGTTGGAAAATTAGATATGGGCTTGGGATTAAAACACAAACACGTATCATCATTGGTTGAAAAATGGCAACAGATTCAAAATGAAATCAAGTGAACAGTTTTAGTGTTGCTCTTCAACTATTAAATAGGAAAATAATTAAAATGTTAACTAATTTTGTAAATTTTGTAATATATTTTTAGTATAATAAATTAATAAATTATGTTTTTTCCATATTTAATTCTAGTAATTCTAATTTTTATTTATTCTTAGTTTTTTTCACTATCAGAATTTTTGTCTATATTATCCTCCTCATAAAAGGGCTGTTCTACTTTTCCAGCAACAAGTATAATGTTATTAGGTTCATCATATAAAATGAAGACGAAGGGTTTGTCAACAACAATAGATTCTTTTATAACTCTTTGTGCTGCTAATGCTGAGCCTTTATTACAAAAAAAGAAAAAAGAAATTAACAGTTTTTCTAAGATTAACTTTAAAGTTGGTCTTACTAGTTAAAGAATAAGCTGATGATCGATCAATACATAAATTCATTCCTGCTTGTTGAACCATATCATCCAGGTATAATTTGTCTGTAGATATTTTAGAAAAATCCATTGATTCAGTAAAAATGTTTTTCAAACCAGTATTCTATAATAAAAATTTTGTTTGATAAAATTATTCTTATGCATAGAAATGCAAAACAGTAGTTGGAACTAATTTTTGGAGAAGGGTTAAACTAAGAATAGGCTAACTAAATAGAGTGATCAATTTTTTTTGGGAAAAGGGCTAAAATTATTTTATTTCTGTGACTAAGACCCTATTAACATTTTCTATAAGTAGAAAAGGGTTCTGTTATTGCTTTATGCGGTTATGCTTATACCTTATAATAAGTTTACTTAAATCACTAATCACTACCACTAATAAAAATCATCCTTAATAAATTAATGTGTTTTATAAAAATTTGTTTTTTTTTTTAAGAGGAATTATAATTTTTTGAAGTCCTATTTATGAGAAAATCGCCTCTAGAGTCAAGTTATCCAGTCTAAATATATACCTTTTGTAAAACTGATTTAAAAGAAGTTATATTGTTGTTTTCAAAACAAGGCAACGTGACAAATGCTGGTTTCGAAGTCAATGTTTTTGTGATGTCTGGTATCAAGTTTTCTGGTAAATTTTTCAATACGTCATCTAACGTATACTTAGTTTTGGGTAAAAGTATTAACAAGTTGTAATCCGTGTTCTATAAATTAAATGTAAGATAAAATTATAACCATGAATGATAAAATATCGATTTAAATTTTACTCTGTATGGTAATTTAAAGGCTGTACTATCGATTTCTGGTACGTAGCCAATTTCAAAATTGCCTGCAGCTCCAAATGCTTTGACTACATTTCCATCCCATGATACTGATGTCTTATGAAATGAAGTTATTGGCCAATTCATATCAAATGAGAACCCATTGAATATAAGCATGGCATGTTGTTTGAAGACTAAAATATGATTTCACGTCATGCATTAGCATAATTTATAAAAAAAAAAAATACATATTAGAAATTCGAATAATTGATAAAAGAAAAATTATATCAAAATATTTTGAAATCGATCAAACTTTTGAAAATTAATTTTATAATTAATTTTTATAACTTCACTTTCCCATTTTATTATTTGGTAGTACCTTATAATAAAACTTTACTTAAATCACTAATCACTACCACTAATAAAAATCATCCTTAATAAATTAATGTGTTTTATAAAAATTTGTTTTTTTTTTTAAGAGGAATTATAATTTTTTGAAGTCCTATTTATGAGAAAATCGCCTCTAGAGTCAAGTTTTCCAGACTAAATATGTACCATTTGTAAAACTGATTTAAAAGAAGTTATGTTGTTGTTTTCAAAACAAGGCAACGTGACAAATGCTGGTTTCGAAGTCATGAAACCATTTTACATGAAATTATTCATTTTTTATTTTTACAAATACTTGGTAAGGTATACTTATTTTTTATTTATTCATTTCAATAAAATTTAATAAAGGTTTTATTCGTGCATACTTTAATTTATTATGTTTAATATGTTATTTACTATGAAACATAATACAGTTTAAATGTCAAATTGTATCATTATAACAACAAATTGTATCTAATGTGTAGTAGACACCGAAAACTGTCTAGGTAGTTTAATTTTAATAATTATTCTATTTTTTCTTTATTTAAATAAAGTGCCAGGGGGCATTGATCTTAATTTAAAAAAGATACATTAAAAATAAATTTTAGTTACTATTTTCACAATTCATGTTGTTTTTTATACAAATATTCAATAAATAAGAACAGGCCAATTGTTACGAATAATGGAAATCCTTTATCTTACTTATTCAGTACCTTGTAGAATTACAGACGTGGATACAATGGGAGAGGCCATATAAAATATGCCCCCCTTCCAAATTAGATTTATTTTCTAAAAAATGTCCTATTTTTTTAAAAATAGCACATACTTTAATATAAATAATGTTAGGTTAGGCTCACAAAATTTCTTCTGGGTCCGCGCTCGACTCAATGTACTAATATTATTGTTTAAATCTTATAATTTTATGAAAAAAAATTTGACTTTCACTTAATAAGTTCAAATGCTTTATTCTATTTTTCTCATAAATTACATTCATTATATAGAACGACATTTTGAATAGAATTTTAAATCGTATTTAGAGAAACTATTTTAAAATTAAATTATGACCTTTAATTTGAAAGAGAAATTAAACCTAGGTATTTTAACAATATGTAAAAGACAAAAATTATTTTGTTAAGTTTTTAGGGTTTCTGAAGTTATATTTTCTCTAAATAGTCATTAAGTTTTGTTAGTCTATCAAATTTAAATCAAACATGTTCAATATTTTTTTCATGAAAGCTTATTATTAACCAAAATAATTTAATAAATTTAATAAATAAACACCTGAAGTATCTTCTTTTGGTAGAATATTACGAGCCATTAAATCTGGTCTTTCTACACTTTTTACGCTGGTCAAATAATACTCTTCTGCTAATTCAGAGAATGACTTGGATATACTATAATTTTTGTATACATACATAAAGTTTTTGATAGACACATGCGACGAGCCGTATGAAGGAATTTCCTATACATAAATGGATGCAAATTAAGATTCCTTCTAAAGAATCTATTAATTTTTTTTTACCTTAACTGATGTAAGGATTTTTTTGTATGCTTCTTTTTCTAATTCATTAACACCAATGGCTTCAAGGATTTCTTTTCTGTTTATAGAATCAGCTCCTTCAGCTAATAACCCCAAAATTACTGAAGCACACAAAGGGGCTGTAGCATAATTGGAACGATCTTCAAGGGTAGCCTGTTATCATACATATTTGCTGTCATATATTGTTTTTAAATAATGAATGCATTGATTTTTGAATCAGTTTTGTAACTATTTATTTGAGATAAAGCAGTAGAATTTTTTTTGGCTTGTACTAAAATATTATACTTAAAATATAACAAAATTATTTATTTAAATCAATCTCTAGATTTTTTAGAAGGGCCATTAAATCATTAAATCATTGCAAACTCTTATTTGCCTGTGCTACTGAATAAATGGAGTAGTTAAGATAATATGAAAGGTAATTGCTTACAAATTTAGATATAGGAAAAACCGGGGTTGATAATTACCCAAAAAATTATAATTTTGAACTTGCTGAGATTATATTAAACAGTCATTAGAATAAATTTTGATTTTTTGAAATTCCTATCATAAAAAAAAATACGAAACACTTATCTAACTTTATTAGAATAAATGGTAATTTAATACTACTTGTAAGGAAAATTTTATGCACAGCAAATACTAATTTATAAAAATGTTGAGATAGAATTGAAAAAAAAACAATGCATCCAAATTGTTAAGATTTTTTAAATAGCATATTTACCTTCAGTAATACTTTTGTCAAAACTTCAGTAGATTTAGAAACTTGATGACTATTCGCATTAAAAATAGAGGCAACTACTATTAGACAAAATCCAACTAATGATATCTGACCGAACATATTTTAAAAAGCAATTATTGTACTCTAAAATCTTTAATTTTAGTTAATAAATTCTTCAGTAAATTTTTAAACGTTGAAGTACTTTACACCAGATATCTCGTCCAGAGTTTAACGTATATAATCGAACCCACGGCCAAGATCAACGATTCTTATTTATTTTTACGATAAAAAAAACCGGTTGATCTTCATTAGGCATTCATGTGTGGTTCACCTGTGGTGCTCACTACAGGTGACACCTATTATTGATTATACTTATTAAAAACGTTTTTCTTTCATGTAGAAAGTTTGTTTGTCCAAATGAAAGCGTTAGCTCATAAACATAGGAGGTATACGCAAATGTGTGCTTTACATTAAATGCGGATCTATAAAATATCCATGAGTATTACAAAATCAAATGGAAAACCAAACAACAAAAACAAATGTTATTGAATCACTTTGGATCACAATGAATTAGGAGTGTATTACTTATTATAATTTCCCTTTTTACCAGCCTGATTGTATCACAAGTATGCTCAAAAAAAGTCTAGCTATACAAGACTTAATACGATTAAATGTATTTATGTATTATACTATATTTCTCAAACGAGAATGGTAAAATCTGGAATTAAATCATTTTATTATGAAAAATTTCAGCTACTTATATTTATCGATTGCTTTGGATGAAGTTTTAAAAGTTTCACAAGAAACTACTTACTTTAAATAAGTAGTTATAAACGATAATAGTTAATTCCATACTAAATTACTTATTATATGATTTAATTAACATTGAATCTCATTTGCGAAAATCCCTTTTAAAACGTGACTTTTCTTAATATTTTATCTGTCAAAATTATAAAAAATAATAGCACATTTTACGAAATTCAATAATATTATCGAGTTATGATAAAACAAAATAGGTCATAAAATCTAAATTTATAGATTTTAATAAATAGCAGCGTGATAAATTTATTGAAATAATATATTTATAACTTTCACAATGATTTGCATCAACATAATTTAACTGTGTGCTATTTTCTTTGGAATTTACATTAAGATATCAAATTTTTAGTACATTTCATTTATTGGTTTATTTAAAGAATGGTAAAGAAAAAAATTAACTGGGCAACAATTTTTAAGGAGTATATTTTAAAAGAAATTGGCATTTTTTGGGAATATAGGTATTAAATAAATTAAAATAGTAAATATTAAATAGTAAGTATAACAAATGTTTTAATGTATTATACTCAGGGCAGCAAAGCATGTTCCTGTTTTCGACGCGCTAATCTTTGGTGAACTAATTTTCACCGCCAAAGAATATTTTAAAAATAATAGGTTTCTATTCTTTTCATGGTTTAAAGCAATTGACCTGTTTCCTTACTTACTGAACACTATAATTTTCAACATTTTTGACGTGTAATTTTATTTGGGATTGGTTGGATTAGGGTATAGCCTACAAAACTTCACCCTAACTTTACATAGGGTGCTAAAGTTATCTAACTTTTTACCCGCATTCAGTAAAAATTAATTTCCTATAAATAATTTTATAAAAATGATTTTAAAAAATATGTTTTATTTATTGATGGACAATAATTATTCAATAATTTATAAACTAAATCATTATTATTTTATGATTTAGATTAAAATTTATTTTTATTATTTACTAATTTTAAATTTTATTATATATTTTTAATTGTATTTATTATTTTATAAATGTAGTTCAAATACAGTATTTTTCACTATTTTTCCATTATAATAATAATGCAATCATGTTAATTACTTTTTAAATAATAGTTATTAATAAAAAAATGACTAATTAACACCACTTTAAAAAATCATGTACTTCAATGTCAAAATAAAAATTTGCATACAAAGGTTTTGCTTAGTTTTAACAAAATATTTTCAGCAATAAATCTACATATCTGATACAACATTTTCCGTTTTATAAGTAGCCAAAAATTCTTCACCATTGGGTTGAATTTTCAATGGGTCATCTTCGTCCAGTTCTATTTCTAAATACTCATTAGTTTCCTACAAATATATTATAAGAAATTTTACTAAATTAAATCATTAACTGTATAAAAATTAAAACATTTTTTTTGCAATATGATAATTAATTCCTAAAATAGCAAGGCAGTTTAGAAAAAAAAATACTATGCTCTTTATTATTTATGTAAATATGTACTTGCTATAGTAAAATAATTCAATATATAATATTGATAGTAAAGAATAAATGGTCATTAGTTAAAATATACATATAAATATGTATTAATAGTTTTTTTTTTAATATTCAAAATGTTTGCACCTTTAAAGATCTCATGAGTATATGCATGAATTTGAATAATTTTAATAAAATAAATTCACATACAAATATGCTTAAATATACAAATGATCCTCCCTATTGTCATAAGTGGAAATTGATAGACTTAAAAGAGGTATAGTTTGACTAGAAAATTCACTAGTCTCCAAAATAAAAATTTCTTTGTTTTGTTATTATATTTTATCTCCCTACTCCTATTGTAATAGAATTATGCTGCTTTTATATTAGCTTCGATGCGTAGCTTTGAATTTTACTTGACGTGTTATTTTTTTTTTTTTGTACAACATTATACACGATTACTCTGCTCCTATTTTAACGATTTCGCTCAATGATGTGTCAAAAAGATCATAAAACATGTCTCGTTGGTCACCAATTATNAAAAAGATCATAAAACGTGTCTCGTTGGTCACCAATTATGTTATCACCGGCGATGTGTTGAAAAAAAAACCAAATTAGATTTTTTATAAGGTCCCTTTTGGATTAACCTAGGATCATCATTTTCAAGATGCATATTAATTTATACAGAAACAACTTTATTAATTTCAATTTAATTAAATAACGAATTAACCCATAATCAGTTGCCTTGTTAAATTTTCCTATTAATTCAGCTAGAGGAACGAAGTGATTTTTTTTTGCTAATTCGCCTACCGATATGATCTAACTTTTGTACGCTCTACTATTGATATTGTATCCTGATATAAAAAATAATTACGTTATCAGAAATAGTATTTTCTTCATCTGAAGATTGATTCAAGTCTGGATGTTTTTTATTTTGTAAAATTAATTTAATCTTATTCAACTGTTCAGTAGCTAATGGATATTTTATTTTGTTTTTTTCTATGATTTGTTTGACCACAGTCAATAAATCTATCTCGATTGCGACATTTATCATATCTTTATTTTTTAATATGCTGTACAAAATTCTTAAAAGACAAGGTAGAATCTAAAAAATTATAAGGTTAGTTTTTTTTTTATAATTTAATAAAATAATCATAACTAATAAACTGTGATATACGTACATCAACATCTAGGGTTGTAACAAAAACGCTTATACATTGAAGTAAATTACGTGCTCGAGATGCACAAGATTGCACAGCTGATTGACTTTTACAAATATTTGCGAAAAGACCCAAACTATATTCTAAATCATACATTTCGAATTTATTTCGATCACCAGTAAATTCGCTTTTTCTAACCAACTGGTCGGTCAACCACGTTGCTAAACCATTTTCAATCATTTGCTTTCGTTGTGGAACTCTATGAATAATAATTAAACAAATAAAAAAAATATCATCATCTACCAAGTAATTTTAATTAGTGCATATTGTTACTATAAACCTCAAACTGAGTTTTTGCAATGTTCCTAATAACATGTTACAAGTGATCGTATCCCAAAAGTGTTGAGATGATATGAGCTGTGATACAATAAGTTTTATTAAAAATGGAGAACTTGCTAAATACTTGCGCCCTTTAATAAATGAAGCTAAAGCATTAAGCAACCTTGATATCATTTGCTGTAATGGATGTGGTCCGTTCGTCATCATTAGCCATTTCATAAGACCTTGTTCAGCATTAAGCTTGCATAAATCTAACATATCATGTTTTTTTATCATAACTACTGTTTGTGTTCGATTTTGTGATCTAGTAAGTCTCTTAAAATCAATAAGTGTATCAAAAACTATATAGAAATTTTATAACACAAAATGTCCTTATGGACTATTTTTTAATGTATTAATAAATTAGTATTTAAGAATATAATTTACCCATCTTAAGGCTTGGAGGATTAGTAGTTTGTTTTTTGTGCTGTTCCCATTTCTTAATTCAAGTTTAATTTTATATATGCTAAGTTTATATTCATTATCAATTCCCGAATCCTTAAATAAAATCGATTTTATTAAATACTGCTTTTTCTTTAACATGAAATTTTGATTTTATACTAAACTATAATTTGATCATTTTCGTTGATTTCTATTACCGCGTTACAATTCTTTAAAATTACATCTAAATTAATAGCCTGTCCTCTAATTGAATTTTCCAGAGCACTTATCAATTCAGCTGCCAATACTAAAAAACAATTTAATAATTAAATCAGTTGGTATTTTGATAATTAAAAAAATCTATCGTTAGAAGAAGGAAGAAGAGGTAGAAGAAGACCAAAAAAGAGATGGAGAGATGTTATTGAATGCGATATGAGGACAGCTGATTTGAGCGTAGATGATGTGGGAGATCGTGTCAAGTGGAAGTTTAGGATAAGGGTAGCCGACTTGGGATTAAGACGAGGAAGAAGAAGAAGAAAATTTTAAAAATTACTTAAGGAAAGTTTTTTTTTTTTATAGACAAGGTATTAACTTTAGTGGTCATAGGTCAGAGGTTAGTTTTCCATAAAAGATAAATATACATTTTGATGATACATTTAGATGTTGAAAACAATAATTAAAAAAAATGTTTAGATAGTTATTAGTCTTATTTTTATAAAACATTTGTAATTTGTTGTTTTTTATGAATAATAATGTTTTGGATAACATTCTCCAAGACTGGTAGTTTAGGTCCATTACTTTCTTCGATATATAATATTAATATTCGATATATATTAATAGTAAGTGTATAATAAAACATAAAATTGATTGATTAATATTTAGAGAGTATAATCAAATTTTATACTCAAAGGACACATATATTAATCAATTTTTACATTCTGTATATCATTAAAAAATTTAATATTTTTAGTATTATTTAATATGGTAGATATTATACTATGACACAGGGATTGAAATCGATACTCAAGTTTCGATTTCGCTTATAAATATTTGATTATATAGATTTCGATTTCAATTTTGTTTATAGATATTTCAAAGGGGTTCATTATGGGACCCCTTCTATTTTTTATACATAACACCTAAGAAATAAATGATATAGAAAGTACTTAGTCAATTAATCAGCATACAGAAGAGAACTAAAATTTTATTTTTTTTTTAGTGTTATCTATTTTTATTCGTGATCTGAAAATTTAATTCTTCAGAAAAGATTATAAAATTATTAAATAATTATAACGCGATTAAGAGTTGTAATTAAGCAATACATTAAATACTACAATTTTAACATCACGATTTAGGATTCTTGGGAATCCTATTAGCATGTAGGTCATATTTTTACATAATTTAGCTTGAGTGTGTCATTTATTGTATTAATTTTTGGTAAACATTAAAAATGTTGACTATCATAAATCACTTTGAACTTTTAAGATAAAATTATTACTTTATTCTTATTAATTCACGTGTATGAAATATTATTAGATATTAATCATAAGCATGAATAGTATTTTGAACTTGAGGGGTACATATATTGCAAAGGTAATATCGCTTTACTTCAAATAACGTACCCAACCTTCATTTTATCTATTTATAAACATATAATTATGTATAAAAGTTACAAACATATAAATTTTTCTAGTGATATTTTAACTATAATTGTTGAAACTAAAACATATTACTAATTAAGTTTAATACATATTTTACACCGATGACATTCCACACTCACAATATTCACACTCGCAGTAATTATTTATACAATAATATAATGAATAATTTATTTTTCATTGCAAGATTTTAAAAGAATGGTAAAATTTGCTTGTGAGTGCTGATGTCATCTTAGGTGCTAAATAACCAAACATCCTCCTATTTGCACCTATAGTGATTCTATCGTAAACAACAATGTACATTAGTTTTTGTACAATAATTTACAATGTTACACTATTTTAATAATATATATAACTGTCAAAAAAAATTCAAAACATTTTAATACGTACTATTAAGTGGTTTGTACTCAAGATACAAAGTCTTAAGATTATTTTTTGCTATTTTTCTTTTTCTCGCTTCATTACTTGGTACTAATAGAATTGATGTACTTATGGCGATGTCTAATATAAAGTCCTCTAATCTTTTATTTAGTGAATCACACCATTGGTTTTCCTAAAATTCAATTCAATTAATGCTAATCTCGACAATTGATTTATGTTATAAATTAATACGTATTATTACGTACTTTAAATAAATTCTGAAAAGACGAATGCTGTGCGGGATGGGATACATATGGTAAAGCAAAGTATGGTAAAAACTCATTTTCTGTACTGAATTCTGCTCCTCTATTAACTAGAAATGAACGAAAAGCGTCCAGAGAACTTTTGGAGATGTTATCAGAATTTTCATTATTACTAATGTTACTTTTACATTCTACTATAGTGTAGTAAACGTATAGGTAAAAAGTTAATTTTCTATACTCGTCAAGTTGCTTAACTTCAAATGGCAAATCATTCCACATCTAATAAAAAATTCTTACGTAAATCTTTAAGGCGATATATATTATAAGCAAAGCTGTCTCAAGATAAAAAAATTGAGGATGGGAGTGAACAAATTATTTTTGCTGACTAAATGTTTTTTTTTTATTGTATGACCTTTTTATATTTTTGTTATAGCAACTCTATCATGAAAAATTATCTTTTAAAACGATTTAAATGAAATATTGTTTAGAGGAAGTGCCAACCCCTTGGGACGGCCCTGATTATGAGTACAATATTTGTCGTGAAAATCTTGCACACCTTCAAAAACTCTGTTCTAGATGTATTTTTAAATGCTTTTATAATGGATGCAGCTTGATCCTTTGTTATATGAACTGGAGCATTTAATTTCGATGTTACTGGCGGTATAATCATATTCCTTTCGTTACATTCTTCCAAAAAACAAGCGCACGTCTTCGTCAATTTGTTAGATAGTAGAAACTAAAGAACATGGTTTATAAAATTTTATACACGTATTCTATGTATTAAGTAAAGTGATTTATTGGAAATTTAATTTTAAACAAAACGTGTATAGTTTACACGCATTACATACCTCATAAATGTGTTGCAATGTTTTTGTTTCGTATTCGGTGTACTTTTCTAATCTATCCATCGTTATAAAATGTGTCAGTTAACACAGAAAGTCATAGTGTGCTTGGCACATAACTACCGTAGACCTGCGTGCCTAACACATTCAATCAATAACACCGCCTGTAGCGCTTGTCCGCATTTAAGCATAGTTATTTATTTTTATAAAAGAACACTAATGAAAAAAAATAGACTAAATCGACACATATAAATAAGATTTTTTAGTAGGAAATAAGTACAACACGGTAATAAAGTTGTGCACTTAAAAAAAAAATGCATTTAATGTCATTTATAAAATGAATTATTCACAATAAGTAATATTAAAATTAGTAATTGTAACCTTATTAAAATAATATAAAATCAACAACAATGGTACACCTTAGTGTAGGTCCTAAAATATACAGTTTCTACAAGGGCGCACATTTACATAGAAACTTTTTACAAAGATAAAACAATCAATTTTTTTCTTAGTTAACCAGTAAATAGACTATAGGTGTTAATATATGACAATAAGATGATTAACGACCATCTTGACAATATTTAAACGTTAATTGGTTTCTTTTTTCGATTATCTTCCCATTTCTTGACTCTTTTTAGAGGATAACAAATTATGGCTGATAAGAACAATATAAGACCAGCCATATAAAAAGACATATCATAACTTCCAGTGGCTTCATTAAATTTTCCTATAAAATAGAAAATATTTAACAAAAATTATACGCCAGATTTTTTATAACATTTTATTTTTTCATGCGAAGCTAAATAGAAATGATTATGCTATGTTGAACTTTTTATTTTATTTTTATTATTATAAATACCTAAAAGAGGTGACCCAATAGCGGCTGCTAATCCTTGAAACATTAAAAGAACACCAAAAGCATTTGTTAAAAGTTCAAGTCCAGTTAACTCCACGATCATAGTTGATCTTAGAGAAGCAAAACAGGCTATACAAAATTAATAAATATTTTAAATTCAAAAAATTATAATTTTTTTAAAATAATTTCGTGTTTACCCATAGAGAATCCAAACAAACTAGCATACATGACGTAAGAAACTACAGAATATGGTATGAATGGAAAAATGAAAGTGTAGATTCCACCAAATGTAAGAGATAAGTTATTAACAAATATTGGGTCAATAGAATCATAACTTGAAATCCAACCACAAAGAATTCTACCAGCTGTATTTGCAATTCCTATGATTGAAACTAAATATACGGCCATTTGTTTGTCCATATTATTTTTAGTTGCCATATCTAAAAAGACAGTTTAAAAATCGTTGTTTTATATAAGTACTTGTATGTATAAATAATTAATAACCTGTAATAAACATGAATGGAACAAAAAATCCCATAAGTGTTAAAAATCCACTGCAAGTTAAGACTAAGAAGGATGGTGACATCAATATTGAGAAATCTAACATAGTCTTAAGAGTATGCATTGTTGACTTATAATATTTCCAAAAACTTGTTGAATGTTTTCTATTGACATTTTTGCTCTGAAATTTTAGTTTACTTTCTTCTTCTATTATATCATTCCAAGACGGTATTCTAGTAACAGACATTGTGTAATTCAGCGATCCAATCTAAAATAACGCCTATAGAAAATGAAAAAGTTTGAACTAAACCACACCAGTGTAAGTGTATAAAGTATGAAACTAACACTGGTAACACTGGTTGTGAGTAAAAATGTCGTTAATGAAACGTACTTGCGAAGAATACTGTGGTAATTTATTTAAACTACCACCAAAAAATCTATCATCTCTATCCATTGGATGAGCCAAAAGTGATGGAGTAAGTGTATTTCTTCTAGATCTTAAACTAGCTACAGATAATTTATTTTCTTTATTTTCAGGCGACAATTTTCCTTTGAGGGTTAAATCGGCATTTAGAGAATAACATGATAAACTTATATTTTGATCAGGAGTTATTCTTCCAGATAAATGTTTGTAAACAGCCTCAGCAGTAGGTGCTCCACTTTTAGAAATACTAAATTTATCTATTGAATATCTTCTTTGTACACCATTATTTTCAACAAGTAATGGTTCATTTTCTGGCTTTTCAGGTTCTACGACAATAGGGTTATTTGGAGGGACTTCAACAATAGTAGGTTCAAGTGGCCTAAAGAGTATTCCGAAAATTCCACAACTTAAAGCTAATCCTAAAAATAATAGAATAAATTGTTCACGTAAACACATTACCATTTTCGTATTCGATTGATTCGATACCTACAAAAAAAAATCTTTACAATTTTACCTGCTTGTGTTAACATTGAAACCCTCCATCCATAATTCTTAACAAGATGATCAGTTAGCGGTGCTAATACAAAAGTTCCTATTCCAGAACCACATACGGCTATTCCTGTTGCTAAAGCTCTCCACTTATCAAAATAAAATCCTGGTATTAATACTGCGCATACATAAATCATACTAAATCCAATTCCTATAAAAAAATGCAGTAAGTTCTTACAACTGATCATACTTTACAAAATCGATTGAACTCGAAATTTACCAAAAACTTATTTTCTATTTTATAAAAAAAACAATATACATTATTTGTATAAATATCAAAATTGCAACAAACCTCCCAAGAAACCGTAAAAAAACATAAGTTGATAAATCGAATCAACGTAAGCTCCTACTGCAAATGCAACACATGAAAGTATACTTCCGCTAATTGTCACTACTCTAAATCCAAAGCTGTTAACAAGTGCACTAACAAATGGTCCTAAAATATGTGTATAAAATTAAATAAATAAAATAATAAATTGTAAAATATATCACCTGCGATTAAATAAAATCCTGTTAGCAGTGACCCCACTAATGTAGCATAGTCTGGTGATTGGTTAAGATTGATAGCTATATCTTTCATCATCAGTCCAAATGAGTATACTATTCCATCAACAATCATATTACAATAAAAAGCTGCCAATACAACTACCCAGCCCCAGCCGCCATCTGGAGCGACAACAATTGCTAAAGTACCTCCTGTTCCTGTTGTCATCTAAGTAATTATAAAGTACAATCATTTAAATTTAAATTTTATACATAACAATCTAAGTAGATATGCTAACTTAGTTTATTTCGTATTAAATTATTTCTCTATTCACGTTATAACACCAGTAGAAAAATATTACTCATTAGAGTCAAAATGATATATTATTTTTATACCAGTCCAGGACATGCATGACAATAAAAGATAATATAATAACATCATTAAAAAAAAATTAGTACCTAATATTTATTAAGATGAAAATATTATACACTTATAGATTACTTACGTTTTATTAAAAATTAATAAAATCTATTTTAAAATATGTAAGTATACAGAGTGTTCAGTAAGTCAGGAAACGGGTTTCTATTGTTCTCATTGTTACAAACAATGAGAACAATAGAAACCCGTTTCGTGACTTACTGAACACCCTGTATATAATTTTTTTATTGTAAGTTTATGTTTTAGCATAATTTAATTAATAATTTAATTATAATACCATAAATTTAATTTGAATTTGTAGTATTTGTAATTTATTGTAATTTAAGAATTTGGGAACCCTTACACAATTATTCAGTGAGATCTATTTTCTTTTTTAAAAAATAAATTAATTTTATTATTATATTAACCAATTTTTATTACTATTGGCACATTAAATACTGTAATACTGATTCATTTTTTAATATCTTCAACATTTTCTATCTAGAGAAATACACACAGAGATGCGAAAGTTTTAATGAGATTTAGAGGTAATGAATTATATACATATTAAAGAGCGTACTATTTTAAAAATGATTCATATTAAAAATAAATAGAAGAATTAATTAAAATCGATTATGTAAGTCATTGACCTGTATATACTAAAATGAAAAAACCAATAAGAAAGTAACTAGTAATAATGATATTAATCTATTGGACATTGTAAGTGTTATCTCCCTTAATGAGGTTTAATAAAAATTTTTTAAAATTATAGTTTCTGATCTAAATAATTGACTGTAGTGATTTTTATTATCAAAGAATATACGAACATCATCTAATGGCTGAGTTAGACATAACATAATACATAACTTTTTACCTTATATGAATAATACAGCTAACATCCCTTTAGGTATTTACACGCAGTGACGTAGTTATTGTTTTGTTCTGGGGAGATAAACATAAAAAAATTTTTCACTACACCCTCCAAAAAAAAATGGCATGTTCACCATGTAAATTTTTTTTTTTTTCAATCACAACCATTAATTTTGAATATCTTTAGACGGCAAAAAATCGCATTAATAATTTTTATGAATTTGAAAACTTAATAAAAATTAGTTTAAAATATTTTTAATTTAAATACTATGCACAATGTTGCACATTATTATTAAAACGCTTGAAGCGCACTCTGTTAATCGTGTTACATCAAACTTAATTTATTTAGATATTATTTTGAAACTCGTAGGAAAAAATTATCAGGTGATACTTCTTAAATTTTGACAAAAAATCTTTATATATAAAAATGGATACCCTACAATATATATATCACTATATCTCCATTTTGCTTAATTAAAATCACTATCATAAAAAACGCTTCGATGCAAATCTTTAAATAGTGTTTAATTTTAAAAAACTGGTAAATTATTCCAAAAGCTACATGATCTGCTATTTCCTTATTAATATTCTTATTAAGATAAAGTATGTCAAAGGAAAAAGGAATTATTAAAAAATATTATTTCTCATAAAAAAAATTGTGTTGATCCATACACTTTTCAAAAAGTTATAGTATTATTAAGTTAAAAATGTAAAAAATAAAAACAAGAATTTTCAGACAGAATAGCATTTGGTAGCCATTTTCACCGTGAAGACAAAACAAAGTCAAAAATTTTTTTTTTCCATTATAATGTAAATTATCTTTAATTTAAGATATAATATATCTATATATTATATAGAAGTGTCAAACTTTTCGGAACACTTTCAAAAGTTAAGTTGAAAAAGTAAATTTTTGTGAAAAAGTTGTCATTTTAAATCCCCCCTGTCGGCAACTAAAAGTCAGATTTATAAAAAAAAATTACCAAATGATAGGTAAAGATATTAAGCATCTATAAAAAAAAAATATATATATTGATTTGTTCATTTTTAGAAATTTATAACAATTTTAAATTAAAAAAATTGATAAAATGTCGAAAATTAGCGATTTTAAAATTTGCAATTTTTTTGGATGTTTTACCTATTTATGGAGAACGAAGGAAATTTTTTCTATTTTTGAGGGTAAGGTCTTCGACCAGATACGATTTGTGATCTTTTGATGTATTGTTGAAAGAAATCGGTTCGGTGAGAGCTGAGAAAAAGTAGTAACAGACACAAAGAAAAAACATTAATGTAAAATTAATAAAAGTTTAAAAAACGACAGAACTTTCTGATTTTAAAAAGTTTTTTGATTTAACTATAATTTTACTGATTTTTTTTAATACCCTAAATTTTTTATTTAATTTTAGAATAAAATGATCCTAGATTAACCGAGGAAAAATGATTTTCTATTCCAGTATATTTTTTGGCTTAATTCAGACTATGTTCTGTAATTATTTAAAAATTAAATACGAGACAATCCCCCTAAAAAATGTTAATAGCAATCGGTTCGGTGAGCTGAGAAAAAGTGGTAACAGTCACAAAAAAAAAAAAAACCTAGAACAGGGGGGTCGCGGCACAGTGGTGACGTGCCATAGTTGGATAAGTATAATGATATTTGACAGTGATTAAAATCACTAAAAAAAAAAACGCTTCGATGCAAATCTTTAGATAGTGTTTAATTTAAAAAAATTGATGAATTTATTCAAAAAGCTACATAATCTGCTAGTTCCTTATTAATATCCTGATTAAGATAAAGTATGTCGAATGAAAAAGGAATTATTAAAAAATAGTATTTCCCATAAAAAAAAAAACACTTTCAAAAGTTAAGTTGAATAAGTTCTACTTTCTACATGCATTTTTTAGATTTAAACCCCCCTCGTATATAGGGAAATGATCCGATTTAAAAAAACAGTATGTTGAATGAAAGATGTATAAAAATACTACTTCTTATGAAAAATTTGAATTGATCCATACGTTTTTCAAAAATTTATAGCATAATAAATTTAAAAATGTAATTTTTTACCATAATAAAGTATATTACATTAACTTTAATTTAAGATATATATAAAAGTGTCAGACTTTCCGGAACATTTTCAAAAGTCATTTTGAAAAAATTAATTTTTTGTGAAAAAGTTGTCATTTTAAATCTTCCTCTGTGGGCAGGTAAAAGGTCAAATATAAAAAAAAATTATACCAAATGAAAGGTAATGATATTATGCATCTATATAAAAAAGAATTATATTGATATGTACATTTATGAAAAAGTTATAGCACTTTTAAGTAAAAAAAATTGAAAAAATTTCGAAAATTAGCGATTTTTAAATTTGTAATTTTTTTGGAGGTTTCCCCCATTTACGGGAAACGAGGGAAAAATTTTCAATTTTTAAGGGTAATGTCTTCAATAAGATACGATTTGTGATTTTTTGACGTATTGTTAAAAGAAATCGGTCCAGTGAGAGCTGAGAAAAAGTAGTGACAGACACAAAAAAAAAAAAATTAATTAATTAACACATCATGGTAAAATTAATACCTTTTCAGCTTCGCATCGAAGCTAAAACACATCATAGAAAAAAAATACCTTCTCAGGTTTGCATCGAAGCTAAAAAATGACACAAAAATCTAACATCCTAAGCTAAAATGTGTATATTATATATATAACGTATGTAATATATCAATGGTGTACAATCCTATTTTGATAAATTCTATAACTTTTGATTCACTGAATATTTTGTTAAATATTAATAAAAGTAATTCAAATGAGGATTTTAAATAAACACAACATATTTTTGTGTCTACATTACGATATCAAACGTTGGTTTAAGCTCATCAGACATAATATGACATAAAATAATCTATATTTCGCGAGGAACCTGTGATCTACTTTGTCTAAGTGATCGTTTTTTCTCAGACTGGCACTCCTATCGAATATTCATAATCCATTTGACTTAATGCGTCGAAACGATTGCCCATTTGCAAATGACGTATTACTAACTCCCCTCCGAATGGCATACCACTTTAAAGTTTAAAAAAATCAGTCCCTTTTCAATAAAAGCCTTTTGTAATATTACTTTATTTTTCTCTTTAGAAATAAGCACTTAAACATGAGACTGTAATAATATTCATGACAAAATTTTACACCTAACCAATAATTAGTGTATAAAGATTATGTTATTTTTATCTTTCTCTGATAAGCTTTGACTAACGTTTAATATGTAATATAAACAAGAAAAATTCAAACTTCTACATATTTTAAAATGCTCTAGAAATTTAACTACAAAATATCAAAAAGATATTTTTCATAAAATTATATTTGTAGTATTTATATCAATGTGCTTGATCAATGAACTAAGAACTCATTAATGTATAAATCATCCATTATCTATAATTAATCCTAAATTACAGCGGTAATAAGAAGACATATTTAAGAATTTTACGAAAGAAATGTTGACAAATCATAATTAATTAATAGTAGTTATCGTTTTATAATTATTCATTGACCTTTAATTACTTGTATTCGTTGCCATACAATAGTAATAATTACTACTGTGTGTCAATTATTACACTTATTATAAAACAATTATTTTTATAATAATAAAAAAAACATTCATATTATAAATGAGTAAAATTTTTTTATAATACCAAAACTACTTATGTTATTTACATAGAGATTAATAGAATTTGCACAAGAAACAATACACAATCTTATTATATTACGAGCATAAATCATAGAGCACTTACACATTACATAAGTCTTCTTAAATGTGATTATAAGAAGTTGCAGAAGTTTTAAACAGGAAAGAAGCTAAGAATCTTTTTTTTTTTTGCTTTTCACCTACTCTTATCAGTCTAAAGTCATAGACTGTAAATAATAATAATTGACCAATGAAGAGGTGAACCCTATCCCT